ATCCTGGCTGTGCAGGGAAACGAGGTCAACAGTCTAACGACTACGGCATGCACGACTATGAGCACACACACACCTCTTCGACCTCAACAAAGTCCTTCTGGTCGTTTATCCCCGGCACGGACACGCAGCCGCTCTCTCGGAGGTAACGGAAGTGCTCCGGGGCCCCCAGCTCAAGGTGCGCGGCGATCTCGCTCGTGCACAGCTGAAATAAAAAAATGATCGAGCAAAGCGTGCGTCAGCGGAGGGTGGGGTCGGGGGGGGCATGCTCGTTGCTCGTTGGCTGATGAATGCGGCTAACCGTTGACCACGCGTCCCGTTTTTGGCAGCTTGCGCGCCAGGTCCCGCTCTTCCTAACCAACGTCGAAGGGCTCCGATCGTATGCATACATCAAAGCAGCATCGAGGTTTGGTAGAGGTACGTAGGGGGTGTTGTAGCAGTTTTTCAAAACGCTCAACGTTGTCGCCTCTCGCAATTGCACCGTACACACACACCACGCACCGAAGCCCTCCACCGGCACGTGGCCGGTCCGCTGCTGCTGGAAATCGTGTGCACGACGTCTCTCGCTTTCCTCGAAAAAGAAAAAGCAAAAATAAGAAAAAAACAAACAAAAAAACGTCCTCACCTGGTAGAATATGTGGAAGTTTCGCTCTCCCTTCGCCTGGGCCACGACCCTCTGTTTCTCCAGGAGGTAGTTCTCGATCCTCGCCCCGCACACCTGCAGCATGGATGAACGCACCGTTTCACCGTGACGAAAAAACGTTCTTAGACAAGTCGTTTTTTTGTAAGACGATACGTGCTTTTTTCGACGTTTGTTTCATTCTTTTACCAAACCGCGAGGAGGGGCCCCGCACAACAGCGCAATTTCATTCTTCACCCTCGCTCCCCGGACCAAAAACAAACAACAATCGGACAAAGAACCAACACACATATATAACGCCGCATTCTAGGTCCAAACTTCTAATTTCTGGCTTCGCACCCTCTCACCAATCGCAGCAAACGACAACAGTTTTCCCGGGGGCGGGGGAGGGTAGCGAAGATACACCCATCACTTCAAATCAGCGCTTACAGCATTGGGATAAAACCGCTTCTTTCTGGAGGCTGATCGGTGTACCCGGTGAGTGTTGACAAAGAAAAACAGTGCTTAAACCTTCACATTGTAACACGCCCGCTAAAATAAAAATAAAACAGGTGTGCCCGCACCCTCACGCCGACAGCGGCAAAGACAGATAGACAGATAGAGACAGCCAGAGAGCCAGACAGCCAGACAGCCAGACAGACAGAGAGAGAGACAGAGATACAGAGAGAGACAGACAAAGAGACAGAGAGACGGAGAGATAGCGAGACAGGCAGACAGACAGACAGACAGAGAGCCAACCAGCCAGCCAGCCAGCCAGCCACACAAGACGTGAACTCGCCTGTCCCTTGGGGTCGAAGTGCACCTCCGTCCATCGGCCGAAGCGGGAGGAGTTGTTGTTCCTGAGGGTCTTGGCATTCCCGAAGGACTCGAGCACGGGGTTGGCGTGGAGGATGCGCTGCTCGACCGCGTTCTGGAATATGTAACGCCATCGGAAGCAAGAAAAAGAGAAAAAAAGTATCAGTACGCAACAGCAACAGCAACAGCATCAGGATCGCCACCACCAGGGTACATGCTAGACTCGTATGTACTTGGCGACGCAACAGAGTACTTAAGTTCCCTGCCTCAGCCGGGTACATACTATTGATGGGCGTACACTGAGCCTGGGGTGCTGATAATACGACCACGAGCGTCTGATTGTTGGTGAAATAGGCCACACACCTTTCAGCATGTTGCGGGCATGTTCGTCGTCACGTTTCATAATTCGCGTTCTTGACAGAATCAACCCTTGCGTTGTGGCACGCCATTGTTGGTTTACTTCTCTTCCAGACAAAAAAAACTTCCTTTCTTCGCGGAGGACATTAGTCTCTGCAAGCACGAAAAAAAAGCATCCAACCCGTCGTTTTCGTTTACGTGCTAACTTACATTATTTAGCTGTGGCTCGGTCTAAGTGGAAAGATGGATGCCCGCCATAAAAAGCAAATTGACAGAGGTGTGGATGTGCCACCGTTGTCTGTGGTGGTGTGGTTGCGTTGTTATTGGTGGTGGCTTCGTCACCACCCTCGTGAGCACATGCCCTTTTGACAGCTACACTTCTTCACCATGAACGAAAATAATGGACTCGTGGGCAGCAGCAAGCAGCACATGAGCTTGCCTCAGTCAACGGCCGACGCTGGGGGGCGGGGGATGGGTGTCTATCTATTTAGCGCACGGCGCGTACCTGGGAACCCGCCACCTCAGCCAAGAAGTTGAAGCACTGTTTCGTGGCTTCCGTCTTGCCCGCGCCGGACTCTCCGGAGATGAGGATGGCCTGCGAGACGTTCTCCTGGGTGAGCTTCATGAAGGCCGAGTTGGCGATCGCGAAGGTGTGCGGAGGGTCCAGCCGGTACGCCGATGGCTTGGCGTACTCCTCGATCGTGGCCGGCGAGTAGATCGGCAGCATCTTGAACGGGTTGATCGACACCAGCACCGAGTGGTTGGCCCCCACCCACGTGTAAATCAGGTCCCTGCGGTACCTCTCCCGGAGGTTGTGGACCATGAGTCCCTGCGACCGAAAAGCGTGGTTTTCGCGCGTGCGAGTATATAATACGAAGTAGGTGTTTTCAGTGTTCCGGAAGGCTTTTTTTTCTGTGTGCTGATTGGTTGTTTGGTGTTGGTTGGCCCCCACCCAGGTGTAGATCTAAGCCCCTGCCGTACCTACCTCTATGAGCCAGCTCCCTGCGGCGAAAACACGACTCTCGTGCGAATAAGCACATGTTTGGCGCTTTCTGCGTGCTGGAAAGCTTTCAGTGCACTGCTGCCAGACTCTCTCTCACTCTCTCTCTCTCTTGTCTCTGTCTGTATCACCCTGTCTCTTTACTGTCTCTACGTATATCTCGCTCTCCTCTCTCGCTCTCTCCTCTCAGAAACACACAACAAAAAGTCTTGACAAGCTCTGCCGTCAGCGAACGTCTCCCCGCCCAAAAAACCTAAAATCACCCACCTGGTTGATCGCGTCCACCATGACAAGGTCATCCTCTACCCTCGACAGGGAGGAGTGGTTGAGGGGCCAAAGCGGTTCCTTGGCCGACCGCTTCACCGTCTTCTTCGACCCGTTCTGCAGCTGGACGTTGGCGGAGTCTCCCGATTCCTTCAGGATGCGCGCGGGCACCCAGCCGTCCTTCTCATCACTCACCTTCATTTGGAGAGGGGAGGTGAAGGTCATTTTTTTTGTTCACGGGTTGCTTGCATTATGTACTTCGAAGCAGTAGTCATTTCGACCATTGCGCGCGAGTCTTTGATGCGATGGAAAACGTCTGCCATCCTGAGCGTCTCGAACGCTCGTTGATGGGGGTGTTGCGTCCATGATCTTGATCGCCTTAGATCATGCAGACGAACCGTCGGAATTAAACACTCAAGACTCCGTCTGCCTCCCTGCCCGCTCTCTCTCTCTCTTGCTCGCACTCCCAATAGGGCAGGGAAAACAGTATTATTATAATAGCCACTTTTGGCGAAGTAGGAAAGAACGATTGGCCATCGGTGATCGGTCCTGTGGGAACAATGCTCCGTCCTCTCGAGGACGCGTGGTCATTGACACAACACCTAACTCATGCAAAACATGAGTACCCCCCCCCCCCCCCCCCCAGTGCCACAAAGCAGCAGGGGCGGATGGGATAGTCAACGAGTTCATGAAGTTTGGGGGGAAGGGGATGATCCAGCTGATGGTACTGCTGTACAACTGGGTGTGGAAAAACGAGTATGCGCCAAGTAGATGGAGGGAAGGAGTGGTTGTGAACTTGTTTAAGAAAGGAGACAAGACTGACCCAGGAAACTACAGGGGTATCACACTGTTGAACACAGTAGGAAAAGTGTTTTGTAAGCTGCTGAACGATAGGATAGTGGGAGTATTGGAGAAGAAACGTAGCATTAGTGAGGGCCAGGCAGGTTTCCGACAGAAGAGGGGGTGCGTAGACCACGCATTCACGGTAGGGAGAATCATCCAAGGTAGAAAGAGGGCGGGAAAGCCGACGTACTGCTTCTTCCTGGACGTGAAAAAGGCATACGACACCGTATGGAGAAATGGGCTGTGGAAACAATTGTCCAAGTACGGGATCAAGGGGAAAATGTGGAGAGTGCTGAAGAAGATGACAGAGTGTACGAAAAGCGCGGTCATGCTAGACGGAGAACTGTCTAAATTCTTCGACATTGAGCAAGGGGTCCCACAAGGTTGCACGCTGTCCCCAACATTGTTCCAGGTGTTCATCAACGATCTGTTGGAAGTCGTAGAGGCAGTCCGGAAGGGAGTAAAAGTAGGGGACACGGAAACGTTGGTGTCAGGGAATGCTGTTTGCGGGATGATTTTGTTGGTATGTCGGACACCCCTGAGGGACTGCAACTGCAAATTGACGCGGCGAAGAAGTTTACTGATAAGTGGAGATTGTCTGCCAACGTTACGAAGAGTGCCGTCATGGTATGCAACGAGGGCAGGGAGGAACCAGTAGAACATAGATGGAAGTGGGGGATCGAGGAGATTGCAGTAGTGGACCAGTACACATACCTCGGAGTAGAGATCGCAAAAGATTGCTCGTGGAATACACACATGTCCAAGGTAGCGGGAAAAGGGCAAAGCACGAGCAGGGAAGCTGCACCCAATACTCGCAAACCGACACCTTGATACACGCATCAAATTGGCGGTTTTGAAGAGCGTAATCGTACTGCCGCTAGAGTACGCCGGAGAAGTATGGGAAGGAAATAAGAAGGTAGTGAAAGAACTCGAGGCGGCGCAGATGAAAGCAGCGAAAATCATCCTAGGATGCTCCAAGCGCACAAGTAATGCAGCAGTCAGGGCAGAATTGGGGATCCAATCCCTACGGTCGGGAAGAGACGTAAGGAAGCTGACATGGCAGTATCGCATGTGCGGGATGGGAGCGGAGAGGTTGCCGAGAATAGTATGGGAGGCGAAGTGGGCAAACAAAAAGAGGGGTAGACAACCCACGGAATGGGTCAAGGTTGTAGAGGACGTATGGAAGGGATTGGACATCGACGAAGATGAAACGCTGGAAACGGAGGGTCTACAGGGGTTCAAGAAGAAGATATCTGTTGCTTGTGCCGACAGAGAAGAACAGAATCTAAGGAAAGAATCCAAGGATAAGGAGGGTCTAGAAGTGTACGGAATGTTGAAAGAAGGAATAGGGTTCAAGGATTACCTACATGGACCAATGGATGCAGGGACAAAGCTTAAGGTCAAATTCAGGACCGGGGACATAGGCCTTCGCGAACGTCGACGAAGACATAGGACGATAGACGACGAAGACGATAACTTCAAATGCGATTGCGGCTTCGAATGCGAAGACAGTGTTCACGTAGTCGCGGAATGTCCGTGGTACGAAAAGGAGAGGGAAGTGTACATGACTGAGCTGGGAAGAATACAAGTGACGTACAGGGAGATGTTTGAGGCATGGAATAGAGAGGAGAGGACGGTAGCGGTACTGGGGAGTAGAAAGTGGTTTGAAAAGGCGGGAAGGGACATCGGTAGGATAGACAAACTAGGGAAGACATTTTTGAGCCACCTTTGGCAAAGTAGGAAGGAACGATTGGCCATCGGTGATCGGTCCTGTGGGAACAATGCTCCGTCCTCTCGAGGACGCGTGGTCAATGGTCTAACCGCTAAGGCATGCAAAACATAAGAGTACGCCCCCCCCCCCCCCCCTGCGCGTTCTCTCTCTCTCACCCACGCCCACGGGCCGCTGTTGCTCTGGAGTTCCTCCGGCGACTTGAGGCAGTCTGGCTTTTCCCACGTGACAGTCTCGCTGGACGGCTCGAAGTAGTACGGAACGTCGTCGGCTGTGCGCTTCTCGATCCAATTGGTCGACTGCGACAGTGCGGCCACCGCCGCGTCTGCAAACGAGCGCAAATTACGCGCGTGTGCAAGATACATGAGCCCCTTTGTCGTGACCAACCAACGTCGTCTCTTCTGGTACAAAAGGTTGCTGCTTGGAAGCATACTAACTTGTGGGGTGCTCATTTGCGGCTTGCTGAACGTTTCAAACAACCCTAACGATGTAGAGTAGCAACATTTGTGAGCCCTTGCGTGTGATCCACATATTTTGTCGTGAAAAACTGGCGGGGGGCGCGGGAGGCGCGTCATGGATTGAAGAGAAAGCTTGTTCTTATCGAAGGAGTTCTCGACAGGCCAGACACACGACTGCTGCTGAACGCTTTCAGCAGGTGCTGTCAATAACGACGGCGAGAAGCCTGGAGTCATTTGGTAGGTGCTCTTGGAGACAGTTGACGCAGACAATGAACTATGCACAGAAGAAAACGAATAAACCCCAGCAGTTTGCCAAGAAACACAAAATTAACGGCTACAATCAACATGCCATCACGCCTACAAATATGCACAAGGCCTGAGCATGCCACTCTCGACATGTCTCTCCGAAAACAAAGACGCAGCCACGGCATCTGCTCTAAAACCAAAACCGAAAGGAGGTATGGGGAAGGGGAGCCAAAAACTCGCTTGTGTCATAAAAAATATATATATGGTGGGTTCTACGCCGAGATGAGCGTGGCACGTGGACACGAGGTGAGCGGAGTTGTACGAGGAGAGGCATGCATGAAAGTGTGAGCCCGTCGTTAGAGGGATTTGAGGCAGGAAGTCAAAGCTTGTGCGCAGCGTTCCACCGTTTCATGCGGCGGAATCAGTTCTCTTGAGGACACGGCAAGCTTTTGAAAAACGTCATCACACCGGCAGAGGACTAATGCCCATTTGAGGCACTTGAAAGCCTGCTGTCACATGCGGTAATGTTTCTTGTTTTTGCTTTTTCTTAATATTACACAGCAAAACCATCCCTATCCACGGAGTCCAGGATTTATATTCTTGTTCTTGAGGTTCGTTGGGCTATTCGAGTAAAAAGCACACCAGCTGTTGGCACGACTCTGTTCTTTCATGAGCGTACTCCGCAGGGACACTCCTAACAGGTGATGTGTTTGATTTCTTGACAGTGAGGGCTGCGTGTCGTCTGCTGCATACTGAAGTTGACAGCAGTTGGAGCCTCTCCAAGTTTGTATACTGAGCACCCAAGTTCTGGACGACAAGTGCTTCTGGTTGTCATCGGACGATGGCCCTTGGGAACCATTCCGATGGTGGCCTGCTGTCGTTTCAGGCTCACAGACACGCCTCCTTTCCGCTGTAATTCCCAACATACGATACAAGAAAAAAAAAAGCTGGGACCAAGCCTAAGGCATTCATTCGTCGGCCCCTGCAGAACACAGAATGAGCTCACGAGTAAAATACACCTGTGCGCATAATCAAGTGCGGCTCGCAGGTGCTCGCGGAAATTTGCGCGCTAGAGAGACCCGATGTTTTTATAAACCATCGGGGCCGCTTTGGTCTCTCTCTCTCTGCTTGGGGGACCAGAGTGGTTCTTCTGTGGGCATTCCTTGTCCTGACATTATGCCGGGGACAGAGCAGTGTTTCCAAAAATGCGAACGCCTTGTGATCCACCTCCAAACAACGGGGCACACTACACGCCTCCAAAAATAGGAAAGTGCTTCTTTGTTGCCGGTGGTGTACGTAGATGGTGATAGTTCGGTATTTCAATCCCCGAGAGCACGAGCCCCCGGTTGCGATCTCAAGGCTGCCTGCTACAGGACAGGAAGGTCGGCCAACAGCTGCAGGATGTCCCCCGTCGGCTAATACTTTCAGGAGTACTATTGTATGTCCCAAACATCTCTCGTCTCTATGTAAAATTGTTTGCGTTTTCCATTCCATCCCGCCGCCCATGTTTGGACGTCTTCCGGGAAAGGCCCCATTCTCAAAAACGTAAGAAGGTCAGCAGCGCTGGTTTCCCCGCCCTCGACGCCGCGCACCCTCACTTCCTCACTCTTACCTGTCAACGAGAAGGACCAATCCGGAGAGTACTGAACCTAGTGGGAGGCGTGTTCGTCAGGGTGGTGCTACACGTCACTGGTAGTGGCGACTGCGTTGCAGAAAAAGGGTATAAAAAACAAAACCCCCGACAAAACATGACTGCTGGAACGGCCTCATACTCCTTTGTGTTGTAATGAGGTCGCTCTGTTCTCCCACGGGTCTACTGATCGGTCGCTAGCGTGGCAGCTCACGGTCAATCGCAAGCGCAAACGAAACGGTTTTGCTCGCTGCTGCTCTACGACTGAGGCTTCGTTATCAAGTGTGATTTCTACCCAGCCGCCGCTTCCCTCTCGTCACAAACCGAACTACTCATGCGCTCGCATCGAGCACCGTGAGAGGTGACGGAACAAGATGGTTGCGGCAGCTCTTTGAACGCTGAACGCTATTATGTAGAGCTGTGCACGACCTAACACCTAACAGCTGCGGTGTACTCGTGAATTTCGCTGACCTAAAACTACGGGCGGGGGGCGTGTGTTGGTCGTAGGCGTCAATGCGATCTATGTATTGCATCTGTCTGTCTTCTCCTCTTAGCACCTACATACGCGTAACACTTTGAAGGTGCCGGCGGCAAAACGTGGTCGTAGACAACAGCAGGTTTTAGTCTAACCTAACACTGCACGCAGAACAGGATTATAAAGAAACGGCGTGTGATCGCTGCTGTGGCAGTGCCTGCTGAAAGCATCTATTTTCAAGCAATAGAAGTGCACCGCGCCAGGCGGTGGTGCTACGTGCACTACATGCTCTCAAACACAGGCGGCCTCTCTCTGAATCAACAAGCATTTATGTACGTACAGTATGTACATGCATCTGACCGGTCCTTTTGTTCCTTCGGAACAACAGCAGCGTTTGTATTTTTTCCCTCTCCGCATAATCGATCTCGGAGCAATTCACAATTATAGATTACGACACCAACCAACAATACGGAGCGCTGCTCTCACCTGACATGCTCTGAACTACGGCTCCACTAGCCTGCGCCGCTGCGTACGCCCCGCCCCCCCCTCCTCCCGCCCTAGGCTTAGCGGGCACCGGCGGGAGCGTCTTCGCTGGCAAGGCCGGCGGACCGCGCTGCGGCGGAGCCGTGACCTGGGCGTGCAGCGAGGGCAAGGCTGACAGAGCCGACCAATCCGCCTGCCCGTCCTTCCAGAAGAGCGTTGAGTCGGTCACGGAGGAGGACGCATAGAGCCTCTCCAGCTCCGGGATCGTGCACGGCCCTTGCTGGGCGTTGGTGGCATCGTCCACGTAGTACCAAGCTTCAGCCATATGTGCTGCTGCTCTGCTTGCTGCGCTGCCGGTCGCGCGCTCGGAGAGAGAAAAAGCTTTTGCTGTCTCGCGGGGGGATTGTATGCACCAAGGGCCCAACAACTAACGAAGCTCCAACGCGACCCCTCTGCAGCAACGCGCTTGTTGTCTCTGTCGCTCTCTAGGCAAACGCGAACCGCTTTGCTTCGTCGGCGAGACTTTCCATCCTCCCACTCGCAGACTGCGCCCCGGCATGGCACAGTGGGGTACGCACTGATTAGCTTGATTGGGGAGACAACCATTCTGCGGTGCCGCTAAGTCTTCGAAAAAAGATGTGTGTGAGATGACACGCAGAGATAGCGGGGTAACTCTTATATGAAGGCGCGGTCCTTCGGAGCATCTCTATCCGTCAATGCAATCGTGGCGAGGCAATCAGCAACTCTATGCCCGCGTCGAGCGTCTGGTCAGACAGAGCAGCGGCAGGACCAAAGGAGCAGAGCCTCCCAGCGGACGCGACTCGATGATGGCGGCTTCGTCAGGTGAGGAAAAGGGGACACCAAAAAAAAGGACAAAAGGAGACGCACGCACGCCTGCTGGGAGACGATGACGAGACGGGGCGGAGATGAAGAAAAAAAAATGCGCGCGAGCCGGCGGCATGCGCGGAGAGGCGGCCCCGTCTCTAAAACCAAGATGGTCTGATGAAATTTCACCCCTTTGGCGCAAAAAAATAACTAGCAAACGAGGGGGCAGTGGCATCTCCCCTCGTGGTGAGGAGGCATCTACCATTATATATCACACCATCTCCGACCGGAAGTTGGAGCACAGACACACACACGAGCAGGCAGAGGCGCATTTTTGAGGCGTGTTTTCTTGTCCCCTCTTATCTGCGTGGCGTGGGCACAACGCCGCTTCTGCTGTGCCCATACCCCCCCACCGACCCTCTCGGCTCTCCCTCTCCCTCGCCACTTTTTCTCTCCAACATAATCGAAAACGATTTCCTTCCTCGATCGAACAAAAGGGGCCGGCGGGGAGGACGGCGGAGGCGAGCCGATGGGAAGCCAGGAATCGAGGCCCTTGGGGGATGAGCTCGACAAGGCGGCAGACGGGTGAGAGAGACTAGCTAGCACGCGAACCGCCCCGTGATATTTCGTTTTTGGTTGGTTCATTTACGTCGGTCGTTCTCTCCTTCTCTTATTGTATGCGTTGTGTTGAGTGATCGATGATGAGAACCATTATCATCTGGCTTTTTTCTCTGTTCAACCTCGTTGCCCTCTCTATCGAAACCATGGTTCGAATTGTTCGATCTAGCTAGGCATGGAACATACAGCACCGCCCGGGTCCCCCTTCTTGTGTAGGGTGCATTTGAACACTGCCTCTTTCGCTACTGTTGGAGGGCGGCGTGCCAGTGGAGAGGCGTCGTGCTGATGGGTACTTGGCGCTTCCTTCTTGTTCGGAGGTCCGCGCAAGAGCACTTTTTTGCCGTCATCATCATGTTGATTTCCGACCCCAGAACTTCAGCCTCGAAGAAATGTTGCAACCACCACCCCATACATGCAACCTGTCACGCTCCGGCATCAGCACCGGCTGTCTGAGGCACGCGCACGGGAGAAAGAAACCACACCGCACACACAGACAGCACGGGCTTTTGTCCCGTCTGACCTCCTCCCTTGGGAGTTTAGAACATACATGCTGTGTGCCCAAACACCAACCACCCTGTGCTTTTTCTCTTTTTTCTCGCCCTCTTTGTGGGCGGTGGTGTGTGTGCCACAAAAGATGCCGCCGCACGGAGCACGGCAACTCTACTGGCTCCCTATTTCCCCCTGAAGAGTGCGCGGGGGTTTGTTGAGCTGAATATTGATCTTCGTTGCGACGCCCACCGCTCCATGTATCTCTCCTAGCGTACGCTCTTAACCCCCCCCCCGTCTCTCTACTACATGTGTGGAAGGAACCGGAAGTTTCGTGCAGTACAGCAGTAGAGCTGCTTCAAGTGTATACGTACGAAAAGAGTCGTTTTTTACCTTTAGTCCCCACGCGACTGGTGACTGCCGCCAACGTCTCTTCCGACTTATACATGCCATGGCATACGCGGCATTTCGGGTCAGCACAGATGCCGAGCTTGCTCATGGCGGTGTTGGATGCCCTTAATACATATTGCCGTGTCTCCTGCTCCCGCGATGTAGGCGGCGGAGGTTAGGTTTCCCGGACGTTGGTGTGTGTGTGTGTGTTCCCTGCTCCCTGCTGGGCAGAACGTTTTTTAGAAGCGGAATATCATCGCTGCCGGCGCGTGCATCCATGTGCACCAAGGGCAGAAGCAGATTCTTCGATCACGATGCGCGAGAGTTTCAATTGACAAGAGACGTGCGGCTGCGAGGGGTGCGGCGAGCGCTTTTTTCGGCCGTCGGTTTCTCTTACATCTTTGGCAGTGAGAAAGCGAGGCGTGAAATAATTGCTGCGCTTCTTCCAGCAGCAGCGGTGCAGCCCCTTTGTTTCGCAGTCGCACAACTCGCATCTCCACATTTTTCGGTGTTTTTTGGTTGATCCGGGCAAGAGATAGATAGAGCACATTCATGGAAGAATACAATTTTTTTCAGTCGCTGTGGGGGTCTTTCCCCCACTTTTTTTTTTCTGGATGGTGTGCTTGTGTGTGTATTCCCCGACTTTACGACACATGTGTGTACTATTCTGTAGGGGCAGCACGAGCACCAGCAGCAGTGCATCAGTTTCAGCTTCGTCGCTGCTGTAGCTGTTGTCGTTTTGATGCCGCCATTGTTGTTGTGTCTTCACGGATGCAAAAAAACTGCTTCCGCCCACCAGGGCCCGGCATTTGTATTGACAGCAAATAAACCGAAAAAAACGAGATGCGCGGCCTCTCTGTATAACGAGAGGACGAGGGGACCCTCCCTACACAACAAGCGCGCATTTTCATGTCACACACAAGTTTTGCGATCGAGCAAATTATCGCCGTGCATCCTCGTCCCCGTCCTCTTGGCGTACGTAGGATCATGCAGACGGTACGATAGTCGCGCGTCGGTTTTCGCAGAAGAATTCCCGAGAGCCAAGTCTGGCTGACCACCGCAACCACCACCATTTGTAAAACTCCGTAGGCATGCTCCTACGTACCCCGTGATGGTCTACAGCAGCCACGTACCGAACCTGTTGTGGTGGTCTACAATCTACAACAGCAATTGCCACGTGGTCGGAAAAAAAGTTGAATGTGCTACCCAGGGAAGTGTGTGTAATTTAGTATTGTGTGTGTAATTTTAGTATTATTAATATAGAATCGACCGCGCTTCTGTGTGTGCGTGTGTCGTTGGACTCACCGATTACCTACTGCGCTAGCCGGCCGGCTGACCAATGAAAAGACTTCAGTCTGTCTCAGTGCGGTGGAAAACAGAAAAGATGCATCGATCACATAGACCACGATCTTGGTCCCTGTGACCTGCGACCGAGTCAAGGGGGGAGTCTACGCTACTCTCCGGTTTAGCGTGTGTGTGTGGTTCTGTGAGTCCTGGACGGACGTCGAATTACTAACTTGTTGAATGCCACCTTGCGTCATGATCCATTAGGTATTAGTCGTGAGAGTCTCGATCATCGGAAGCCCTTCACATCTCTGGAAGACGCTATTAAGTGTTGGAACACCAACGGTGCTGGATAGGAGTGAATAACTCTCCGGGTTTGTGGAAGTCATATATGTTTGTAGTCCACCATTGACCCTTACGGCCAGGGGAGAGGGAAAATGGTCGGACGTTGTTGTTGTTGTTGTTGTTGTCCTCACATTAAAAAACCGTTCCGATCTCTCTCTACCCAGTACCTTCATTTGTCCGTGCTGAAGGGCTACCTCGCATAGCGTGCAGAGAGGTGAGCGGAATGGCCTAGACTATCTGTCGTTGACTTTTATTGGCTTGCGGACCCTTCGGGTCCGTTTTGTTTTCGTATACCTTTTTTTTGGGTAAGTTAGCCCGTGACCACGGGAATCGACCCCATCTAGTGTTACACTATTATAGTAAGGACAGAAGAAGGTACTGAGCAGAGAGAACGGAACGGTTTTAATGTGAAGACAACAACAATAACAACAACAACTGATCCAACACTTGACGCTGTCGATTCCCGTGGTCACAGGCTAACTTACCCTAAAGGTACGCTCAAACAAACTGGTCCCGAGGGGTCCGCAAGTCAATAGAAATCAACTACAGATATTCTGGAGTCCTCCGCTCCCTCTGCGCGCTATGCGAGGTAACAACTGAGACTAGGAGTCAGCATCACGGGCCAGAGAGAAAGAGGTACACCCCCTTTGTTCAATCTTGGTGCTTTACACGCAAGCAGAGACAAGGCCATCTGACACAGAAAAAGAGAGAAAAAAGAGCGACAAAGAGAAAAAAGAGAGAAAAATACAAGGAAACAGGAAGAAAAGAGAAAAGAAAACGAAAAAGAAAACGAAAATAACAAGAAATAAGAGACAGAAGAAGGCACACGGTGGAAAGACCACTAACGAACGAACAATCAAACACGCAAACATGGCTACCGTTGACCTTGATCGTATTATTCAACGAATCGTCGGTGAAGTTGGTGTATTTCTTGCTGCCCACCAACAAAAAGCAACCACCCGAGCAAAGCACCGGCAAGGAACAAAACATGCGTGGTGGCGACCCTATTTTCCCTTCTTTTTTTTTTCGTCTCTCTTCCAGAAGAGAATGTCCTCGACCCGTGTTCGAGTACATGTGTGCATACAACTGCATACTCGCCCGGTATATTTATTGACCCTCTGTGGCCCCTCGCTCACTACTTTAGTGTGCGTGACTTTTGTTGTTGTCTCCCCTCGTATACCCACACACACATGGAAACCTTCCCAAGTAACGAAAGACTATGTTTCCGGCCCCAAGTCGAGTGCCACCACCCGCTGCCTTCCCTCTCGAAGCAGCGGTGGTACTGGCAGCAGGACCTTTTCTCCAACTCATTCGATGTGCGTATGCGTATGCACACAACTCCTTGGACCTTTCGGCACCCTGTGTATACGTTCCTTGTTTCACTCCACTTGTAGCTGCTGCAGTCGATGTTTCTCCCGTCTCTCTTTGGGACGTACTTGGCGTCAACCTTCCACGGTACTACATGCTTGCGTGAACAACCGCACGAATGACCTCCTCCCAGGTACTTGTGGGCGTACTTGGCGATTCCCGCCCGCTCTAACAGCCCCACGCTTCATTCACCCCGTCAACATGTGTATCACCATATTTTCAGATTGTGTAGGGAACCAAGAGAGAATGCAGTCACCCGTTCGTCCTCGCTTCGAACCGACCATTTTGTTCACAATGGAATGGTACAGCAGCTAGCGCCAACACGTCAGAACTCGGCAGCAGCCAAGAAGAAATCGATATTGCCTCGAAAAAAATCGTGAAGTTGAGCACCGTACTTGAACTCGGTTAAGAAGTTAAGTGGCCACTCGTGACGTTATGACCCCAGAATTTTTGTAAAAGAAACGGCCTCGACACAAGCGCTTTCAGAGGTTCTTAAGTAACTGCTGTAGGGTTCTACGACAACCCACTACTTCAATACATTAATAATTTGCGCACTTCCCCCAGCCGGTAGCGCGGCGATATGTACGCATGCTGCGAACAGATTTTGCCCACCACGGATCTCTCTCGCGCCTTTCATTTCTGGGGCTGGCTGCAGTATATGGTTGGTTTTGGCGTCTGTCTATCATGCTGCTGTTGACTGCTGTACCGGCTGCCGCCGCTTGCATAATGGTACAACACTGCTGTTGCTGGTGCGTCATCACGCTTCTCCCTTGGTCCTCCGGCCTGAATGTCGCGAACTTTCCGGAAATTCTCGCCTGGATCCTCCCCCGAAACGATGCTGGCCACCCTTGGTTTCCTCCGCTAACGCTATCGGTAGGTATCATATGCACGTCAGTGCGTTGTTCAGGCAGTTTCACGTGCGTACAAATGCTCATTCCTCTCGTAACCTGCCACACCCTGTATACAAAACCGGCCGTTTTTTCAAGAGCCTGAGACATTCAGGCGCAGAAGGAGATAAATCGACTGTAAAGACTGCTGTGGCCGGAGCCCAGTTTAGCAACGAGCATCGGCCAAAAACAAGAGGTTCTCTCCGAACACTTTTTTCCCATCACCCTGGCAAAGAAAAGAGAACTAAAACGTGTGCCTTCTCATTTGATTTTCACCGCTTCATCTGAGAACGGGGTGTGCGAGAGAATTTTGTTTACCAGTACCGGTAGTCGTTAAACCATTTCACAACGGCACACACAGCTGTCTACGTGAAGTATTAATTGTTGTGGGTTGGGTTGGAGGGGTTAAAGGTTTTCATGGAGGCTGCCATGAGGCTCCCGTTGGAGGCACCATTTGCTTCAAGACAGCCACGATACTTAGCTCTCCGCACGCATACATCCGAGCACACACACACACTAACAAGGGGATAAGCCAATAGGTGACAAGTTTCCTGGCACCGTCACGCTGGAGGTGTGAAATCAGAGCTGATGCTGCTCATGAGAAGCTTCGTCAACGATCGAACGACCTTCGGCAAGAATCAAACGAGTAACGCCTCCCCCCAATGCTGCTTCGTCTCTCATGAGAGGCTTCTTCATCAATGATCGAACGACCTTCGGCAAGAATCACACGAGTAACGCCTCCCCCCCCGCCCCCCCCCGCCTCCCCGTCCCCGTGTTCCAGCGATGGGCCGGGAGCCCTCAGCAGGGCAGCGTACGCCCGCAAGGTGTTCGTCGCCTCCAAGACCGGCTACCTCACCAAGAAGTCCGGCACCGCCCAGGGGGGCGCCAAGAGCGGCGGCATCGGCAAGATCAAGTTCATGAACTACGTTTCTAAGAAGCGCTTCTTTGTGCTCACCGGCGAGTCTCTCCTGTACCACCACGACCACAAGAACCTGGACGACCCGCTCAACTCCAAGGTGCGAGGACCAGCTGAGGTCCGGTTGTCATTTATGGGGGATACCGGGATGGGATACCGCCGTGCTTTGCGGGGGACTGAGATGAGACGAGCGGCAAGGGCGCGTTCTTGTCGAGCTCGGTGTTGTCGGCTAGCCTGTAGGGGTCGTCGTGCAGGGCTACCGCTGAGACGAGCCGCTGGGCGTTCCAAGGCACGTATCAAGCCCTAGGGTCGAGGGATACGACCTTGTTCGGGTCGGGTGGCTATAGCGCGGACCCGGCCAGTGCCCTGTACTCCGAGACACGGCGGGGGGGGGGCACCGAGATTTCATGCCACCCGTGGGCGCGCGTATAGAGTGGACTCGTTTTTCTGCTTGGAGTACGGCATGTGGCTTAGGGCTTCAAGGCGGCCCGTCTCGTGTGACCTTTGCACACACAAGGCGGAAGCTCTTGGACCTTTTAGCTGCTGCTGTGCTAAGCCTGACCTGTATATGACAAATGTACATGACCAACGTCTACGAGTTGGTATCCTATCCCCCTAGTCTGACCCCCCCCGCCCTCCTCGGCACACCCGCACCCCGCTCGTTGCATTTTTCTCCGCTCCTCGTGGAACGAAACCCTCGAACGGAACCGAGCAGGAGATCATCCTCGACGAGAATAGCGTCATCTCCTTTTCCAACGAGCCAAGCTTGGGCTTCGCCATCGAGCTCATCGCCGACGGCAAGGTGGGTTTACGGCGAAGAGTTGTGTCAGGGTTTTCCTACACGAGAAAGCACACCCCGTTGACATTCAGCATTTTGGGGTGTAGTAGCGATCATGACCGGGTCTTCACGGGCTCATGTTTGACCCGCTAAAGTATTGCCACCGGGTGTAGTGTTGTGTGTTGTGTTGTATTGTGTTGTTTCTATGGGTGTGTTAGGTTTGTGTCGTCTACGGTAGTATCTCATCGCTGGTGGCTACGTTTTTTACCGCCGTTTTCGGCCAGATAACACGTTATCGCTCACAGC